CTCTCTGTCTCTGTCTCAGTCTCTCCTGCTGTCTCTCAGTCTCTCTGGCTCTGTCTCTCTCTCTCTCTCAGTCTTTCTTTCCCAGCCTCTCTCTCAGTCCCTCTCTCCCTGTCTCTCTCTCTCTGTCCCTCTCTTCCTCATTTTGTTATTTTCTCTGTCTCTGACATCTGACAGCTCCATCTGTCTCTCTCTCCCTCTTGTCTCTCCCATTCCAGTCCTGCTCTGTCTGCCTGTCTCTGCCTTTTTATCTCAGTCCTTACTCCTCTCCTGGTCTGCCCATATCTCCCTTTGCCTCTCCACGCCTCTCTCTCCCTCTCCTACTCGTTTTTCTTTGTCTCCTATTGCCTCCACTTTCCCTTATCTGTCTTTCTCCTTCGATGACCATCTCCTCTAATCCACCACCCTCTCTTGTTCCAATCTGTCGCCCCTAGATCTCTCCCCCCGCCTCCGCCCTGCCGTTCCTCTCGCTCTCCCCTCCAATGTTATTTGCCACTCTGCGTCTATCACTCTGCCTGTCTCTTTCTGCCCATCTCTGCCTTTCGCCTCTACCTCTCCTCTCGATGGGTTCGGTCCATCCCGTTCTCCTTCCACATCTGCCTCGCCCTGTTTTGCTCTCTGTGTCCCTCCCAGCTCCCTCCCCACTGTGCCTGAGGTGCTGATGTTGCGAATTCTGGAAATCCTCAGCTGAATTATCAGCGGCCTTCCCTCTCTCTCCTCTCTCTCTCTCTCTCTGTGTTTTTGAGAACCAGCCAACAGAGATGCTGCAGTGAAAGGGGGAGGAGGGGAGGCATACATAGGCGCAGTGCCGTTTCGAGACGAAGCCAACAAATCAGTGTTTTTTTTTACCAGCCCCTGAACCCCTTTGCAATTGGTACATCCTTCCACCTCAGGACTACCACCATCTCTCTGCATTATCGAGCAGAGCTCTATTCTGTTTCCCTTCCAAACCTCCCCCCCACCCCACCTTCCTCGATAACCCCCTTAAACTCGCAGGCCAGCTGTAGGGGAGGCAGATTCATTTCTCCGAACCTCTGTGTGTTTGTATGTGTTGGACCTGCATTGTGCCAAATCTCAGCAACTGCACGGCTGCAGAATGAAACTATTTCTAACCCACCTCTCTGCCTTCCTGGCTCTAGCCTTTTGCATCTATGCAGACGAGAGCATCTCTGAAGGTGAGTGCGCTAGATTTTATTTGGTCAAGGAGAGATAAATATCGGCTATTTCTTGCCACGAAAAATATTATGTTGTTTGTTTTGTCGCGGAGACAAACAAGGCTTGTTGCTCTGCCCAGGGAAAATAAAACAGATGTAATCTTGACAAGCGAATGTTCATTCACACAGAGAGGGGGAGGAGAGAAGGTGCAAAATAACAGGATAATGTTAATTTCTTGACAACGACCGAAATTGAAAAGAGCAACTTGCATTTTTCATCGGTATTTCATTTGTATGAATTCGCTACTGACACTGCGAGATTTGTTGTTGACTTGAAATGATTGTATTGTCCTCGTTTAACGAGACTGTCAGTATTACTGTAAACATATTTCATCTGCAATGTTAATGTTTTAGCTGATGGACTCGCCCCCCTCCCCGTCTCTCTCAATGCTGCATTGATCTGTATGATTTATTAATCTCTCTGTCTCTCTCTCTCTGCCATCCCTGAAGCGATTTTATGATGCTTTTGTTTTGATCTGCAGATGAGGAGGGACCAGATTCTCTCTCTCTCTCTCTCTCTGATGTGTGTGTAAGTGAGACAGGGAGGATCCATGCACCCACCCAACAATTTCATGTTTGCAAACCCACCCACCCCCCCTCCACCACCGACGCCGGTCTAAATACCCATCTCCCCGTCTCCTCCCCCATCGCTGGGAGACAGGTATCTGAGTCCACACTCCTTGAAATCAGAGTGGGATTGACAAGGAAAAGGGAGGGGCTGTGTTTTCATGGAATGGGAATGTGTTTTAAAGGGACGGGGCTCTGTTTTAAAGGGATACAGCCATGTTTTAAAGGGACGGGGCTCTGTTTTCATGGAATGGGAATGTGTTTAAAAGGGGTGGGACTGTGTTTTCATGGAATGGGAATGTGTTTTAATGGGATAGGGCTCTGTTTTAAAGGGATACAGCCGTGTTTTTAAGGGATGGAGTTGTGTTTTCATGGAATGGGAATGTTTTAAAGGGATGGGGCTGTGTTTTTATGGAATGGGAATGTGTTTTAAAGGGATGGCACTGTGCTTTAAAGGGATGGGGCTGTGTTTTAAAGGGATGGGTCTGCGTTTTAAAGGGATGGGCTGTGTTTTAATGGAATGGGAATGTGTTTTAAAGGGATGGGACTGTGTTTTCATGGAATGGGGCTGTGTTTTAAAGGGATGGCACCGTGTTTTAATGGGATGGGGCTGTGTTTTAATGGAACGGGCTGTGTTTTAAAGGGATGGGGCTGTGTTTTCATGGAATGTTGGCTGCATTTTAATTGAAAGGGAATGGACAAACATGGCTCAGAGCCAGCTGATTTCCCTTGTGGATCACTCGAGAATGAGAGGTCACGGTTTTAGGGTGAAGGGTGAGCACATTTGGAACAGAGATGAGGAGAAATTACTTCTGTCAATGGGTCATGAATCTGTGGAATTTACTCCCCCAGAGCGCAGTGGATGCCGGGACATTGATTAAATTTACGGAGGGGACTGATAGAGATTTTAATTTGTAACTGGCCGAAGGCTGATGCAAACTGGATAGAATTGGAGTTGAGATCGAGATGAGATCAGCCATGATGGTGTTAAATGGCACAGCAGGCTCGAGGGTCTGAATGGCCAACTCCTCCTCCTATTTTTATATTCTTCTGAAAATTGCTGTGTTTAAAGGGAGGGGATGATGTTTACGTTGAAAGTGGATATGTTTTAACAGGTAACTGTATTTTAATAGGACCGGGCTGTGGCATAATGAGACAGCGCTCTGTTTTATTGGGACAGGGCTCTGTTTTAAAGGCACAGGGGGCTGGTTTAATGGGACGGGGCTCTGTTTTAATGGGACGGGGTGTGTTTTAATGGGACAGGCCTCTGTTTTAATGGCACGGGGCATGGTTTAATGGGACGGGGCTCTGTTTTTATGGGACAGGGGCATGGTTTAATGGGACGGCGCTCTGTTTTAATGGGACGGTGTGTGGTTTAATGGGACAGGGCTCTGTTTTAATGGGACAGGGGGTGGCTTAATGGGACAGTGCTCTGTTTAATGGGATGGGATGTGGTTTAAAGGGACGGGGCAATGGTTTAATGGGACGGGGTGTGGTTTAATGGAACAGGGGCAATGGTTTAATGGGACAGGGTGTGGTTTAATGGGATGGGGCATGGTTTAATGGGACGGTGCATGGTTTAATGGGACGGGGCTCTGTTTTAATGGGACGTGGGGTGGTTTAATGGGACTGGGGCAATGGTTTAATGGGGCAGGAGCATGGTTTAATGGGACAGGGCTCTGTTTTAACAGGATGGGATGTGGTTTAATGGGACGGGGCTCTGTTTTAATGGGACAGGGGGTGGTTTAATGGGACAGGGGCAATGGTTTAATGGGACGGGGTGTGGTTTAATGGGACAGGGGCATGGTTTAATGGGACGGTGCACGGTTTAATGGGACAGGGGCATGGTTTAATGGGACGGGGCTCTGTTTTTATGGGATGGGATGTGGTTTAATGGGACGGAATTCATTTTTAATGGGACCGGGCATGGTTTAATGGGACGGGGCTCTGTTTTTATGGGACAGGGGCATGGTTTAATGGGACGGCGCTCTGTTTTAATGGGACGGTGTGTGGTTTAATGGGACGGGGCTCTGTTTTAATGGGACAGGGGGTGGCTTAATGGGACAGTGCTCTGTTTTAATGGGACAGGGGCATGGTTTAATGGGACAGTGCTCTATTTTAATGGGATGGGATGTGGTTTAAAGGGACGGGGCAATGGTTTAATGGGACGGGGTGTCGTTTAATGGAACAGAGGCAATGGTTTAATGGGACAGGGTGTGGTTTAATGGGACAGGGGCATGGTTTAATGGGACGGTGGTTTAATGGGACATGGGCATGGTTTAATGGGACGGGGCTCTGTTTTAATGGGATGTGGGGTGGTTTAATGGGACTGGGGCAATGGTTTAATGGGACGGGGTGTGGTTTAATGGGACAGGGGCATGGTTTAATGGGACAGGGCTCTGGTTTAATGGGACAGGGGCATGGTTTAATGGGACGGTGTGTGGTTTAATGCGGCAGGGCTCTGTTTTAATGGGACAGGGGCATGGTTTAATGGGACGGGGCTCTGTTTTAATGGGATGGGATGTGGTTTAATGGGACGTAATTCATTTTTAATGGGACCGGGCATGGTTTAATGGGACGGGGCTCTGTTTTTATGGGACAGGGGCATGGTTTAATGGGATGGCGCTCTGTTTTAATGGGACAGTGTGTGGTTTAATGGGACAGTGCTCTGTTTTAATGGGATGGGATGTGGTTTAAAGGGACGGGGCAATGGTTTAATGGGACGGAGTGTGGTTTAATGGAACAGGGGCAATGGTTTAATGGGACAGGGTGTGGTTTAATGGGACAGGGGCATGGTTTAATGGGACGGTGCATGGTTTAATGGGACATGGGCATGGTTTAATGGGACGGGGCTCTGTTTTAATGGGACGTGGTGTGGTTTACTGGGACTGGCGCAATGGTTTAATGGGGCAGGGCCATGGTTTAATGGGACGGGGCTCTGTTTTAATGGGACGTGGGGTCGTTTAATGGGACTGGGGCAATGGTTTAATGGGGCAGGGGTATGGTTTAATGTGTCGGGGCTCTGTTTTAACGGGATGGGATGTGGTTTAATGGGATGGGGCTCTGTTTTAATGGGACAGGGGGTGGTTTAATGGGACAGTGCTCTGTTTTAATGGGACAGTGTGTGGTTTAATGGGACGGGGCTCTGGTTTAATGGGACAGGGGCTCTGTTTTAATGGGACAGGGGTATGGTTTAATGGGACGGGGCTCTGTTTTAATGGGACAG